ATATAACTAAAAAAGTCAAAGCACGCCATATTGCCCTTTTGGTGCTCTTAAGAATATAGTAAATATGTTACGTGCTTTACAAAACACACGTAAGGAACTTAACTTTCTAATACATTTCAATGATCGTAAATTAAGAAATATTGTTTAGATTCTAATATAAAAGTCTCTTCATTTTAACAAGAATATAAGTATAGAAAATAATTATTTAAATTATCATAAGCGGTTGGTGTTGACTCTGTTGAGCATATTTCTAAAACTAAACTAAGATATCGCACTGCTATTACAATAGTGTTTGTTGTAACTCAAAATATGTGAATTTCAAGATTGTAATTATACTATTGCTGAACGTCAAATTTGATTTTTTTTATGATACTAAGTGACGGGATGAACAAGTCATACGCCTGATGGTAAGCGACACGCCTGTCCATAACAGTAGCAGTGCCGCTCAGAGCTTTAAATCTCATAGATCTGAGATGCACTGCTACTGGCCCCGTCACCATGAGACATAAGTAGGCAAGTCCTATGTGCCTGTAATTTCACCAACACCCTTCCTTACCCTTCCAAACCAAAACGCAGCAATGCTCACATTACTGCTTGGCGGCAGAAATAGGCATGGTGGCAGTACTTCCCTGGATTGAATCTCTACATGTCAATAAAACCGTCGTTAGAATATTGTAGGAAATGAATGAAAGATATCTAGTTAACTCAAAATGAGACAAACTTTTGTGAGCTAATTCTGGATAAAACAGACCTTACTCAAACATATTAAATTATTGTAATATTTGGCAAGTAGGAAATTGTTTAGATGTCTCTAATAAACTTTAAACTATATTTTTATAGTTTAAATAATCTTTCTAGGGAAGTAATAAGTTTTTCATCGATTCTGAAAAAATACACTTTTTGATTTAATACACTATTGTATTAAATGCAAAAACAGTGCATTTTAGGAGTTTGATATTTGATAGAAGTTTGGTATACAATGCGGCCATAATTTGGTTCTCGTTTTATTCCGGGTTCGGTCTTTCGAAACTACGTAAAACAAACGTCCAAGATTCGAAGACATTGTTGTCTCCTATACAAGAAATATTAATTTTCGTTAATGTAAATTCGTAAAATCGTTTAGTTAGGAACATTTGGTTTCTTTTTCCCATTTTAAGGGACTAGGCTTAGATTGAGATTTATAAAATGAATTTAACTTCGACTAAGCAAAAATGAAGAGCTAAGCAAATTTTTCGCATTTACAAAACAAAGTTTGTCCAAGTTTAAGCAAGAAATAACGACATAAACTCAAACTTAGACAAAGTTCGTTTTAAATATGAAAAACCGCTTATCTTGCCGTCTTAGCTTAGTCGAAGTCAAATTTGTTTTATAAATCTCAGCCTCAATGTTTTTATGCATAAACGGCTCAAGTTTTAGTAAAATGCACAACATAATAAATTGCAACACCTATAACCGTTTAAAATATCTTGTTCGTACTTTTAGTTAAAACAACGAGATTAATAACTATACTGAATGTCAATTTCTTAGTCAACTTTCACAGGTAAGACTGGAACTTGCGTTTATTCCAAATATACATAAAAGTCACACATATAGTGACAAATAGCTTTATAAACTATAGCAAAGAGAGGAACTAATTGACAAATTGTACACCCCTTTTCTCTTACTCTTTAGTTACCATACAACAACCGTTCCTAGCAGCGTCTTTATTTCCACTAATTTCGACGGTTTTGTACAGTGCTAAAAACTATCTACAGTACATCATCAAATCTCTGTAACCCTAATTAGGTGTACAATCAAGTGTCGAAACGATCCGTACATCTACTATGAGTATGCGGCGGTCGATAGTCACTAGCGACCGTGTAACATATTTGTATGGGCGTGTCGTATAATTTGTCACACAGACCAGTTTACAGTGCAAAGTTTTCCTTGTTTCGGTTGTCGTTTCCATCAGCTGCCCTTTGCGAATGGTGCAGACTGAATGCATTCAATCGACTTTAAAGTGTATAGAGTAGCTATTACTCTTTATTTAGATTAGACACTTATACACTCGCGAGCAACCAAACCGACTCAATGTCTAAGCGCGCATTCAGAGTAGGTTTTATCAAAAAGTTTACAACCGAATTATAAAAACGTTATATGTTTAAAATGCTTGAAACTTCAGCTTTAAAAATGTACCATTAAAATCAATATCGATTCAGTAGTTTAAAAAAAATAAAATAAAATAGGCAGTACAGGGAAATTTACTCGCGGTACCCAGTACGAGTTGGGCGACCAACTAACCCTATAACACCTCCCGCACGCGGCTTATGCCTACAGCCGCTTTCCAGAAGTTGACCTGAACGCATCTCCGTGAATCGCCATCACTATTTTGACAAAACCATGGATACAACACCGGAAGAAGCCGTTCAAGTTGTTGCTCTTTTGCAACAGGGACTTAGTCAGCGATCTGTCGCTGCTCCACTGCACCTAAGCCAATCTGCTGTATCAAGGGTATACAGAAGATTTCTAGAGACTGGTGTATTCGACCGGAGGCCGAGAACCAGCCGTCACAGGCGCACAACTCAAATCGACGATCGGTTCATAGTCTCTACATCTCAACGAAATCGCCACCTGACTGGTGTCGACGTACAGCAAGAGCTAAGACGTGTTCGAGGAGTGGCTGTAAGCGAGTGGACAGTTCGAAGACGCCTGAGGGAAGGCAACTTTACACCAAAACGTCCTGCAACTGGTCCGAAATTGACGACAAGCCATCGACAAGCGCGCCTGCAATTTGCTAGAGAGCACCTCAATTGGAACCACGAGCAATGGCGGGCTGTCTTGTTTACTGACGAGTGCAGAATGTGTCTGCATGGCAGTGATAGAAGAGGTCGGGTGTATAGGCGCCCAGGTGAATGATTTTCGCAGTGCTATTTCGCTGAAACTGTTGCATATGGCGGCGGCTCTTGTATGATGTGGGCTGGAATTTCTTTAGACGAGAAAACCGAACTCGTTTTCGTGCCTGGGGGGACCGAGGAGGAGGATTGACAGCCGATCGGTATATTACCGATATACTCCTAGAACATGTTGTTCCGTACGCGGGGTTTGTCGGCGATAACTTCTTATTGATGCACGATAATGCCCGGTGTCACACTTCGCGTATAACTAAGCGGTTTCTGGAAGAAGTCCGTATACAGACCATGGACTGGCCAGCGCTTAGTCCAGACATGAATCCCATCAAACATTTATGGGACGAGCTCAAACGAAGGGTCCGAGCCAGAAATCAATTCCTTCAAATATCAATGAGCTCAAGACGGCGTTGTTAGAGAATGGGACGGAATTCCTCAAGAAGTTATTAAAAAGTTAATCAGGTCAATGAAAAATCGACTACAAGCTGTTACTAGGGCTAGAGGGGGTAACACCAAATATTAATTAAATAAATTTATTATTATTATTTTACTTTTTTTTGTTTTAATTTAAATAACAATCTCCATAAATTATTTTTCTAAATTCCTATTTTCCCTAATTGTTAACTCTATTACCATTATTTCAAAAACCACGCAATCGATTTTTATGCTAATGAGACCATCTTAAAGTTAAAGTTTCAGGCTATCAGAAAATAAGACACTTTTATTAATTGACTGGGTACTTTTTGATAAAAACTACTTTATATGCAGGTGTAGGGTCTGAGTCGGTTTGGTTGCTCGCGAGTGTAGAAACGCTGCAGTTGTAGCATTGTAACTCTGCAGTCACGCCACTACTAATGTTCATACAATATTTAGAAGCACAGTTGCAGCGCCATTATCGTAACACGTGCGTGCCACTTGTAAAGCCACAATAAAATTAATGAACTAAAAATTACTGAAGCGGTACAGCCGCGCGGCTGCCGCGCCGCATTCGCGCCACTGCAACACTTCTACAATTGTCTAATTTGCAGACGCCCTGAGGTTAAGGACTATTAAGGAGTAAATGTTATTATAAAAAGGGAAATAATTGTACCGCTTATATGTTGACATGGAAAACAACACAATAAAGTACGTAGTCCTGACACAGACTACCTAATCGTTACTACGTAACAGATGCATCACTTTCATACAAAACCGAAAATACCTTCGCTATAATAGCCTACTAAATCTGACCAATCACACCAGGCGCTCACTACGAGGAAAAAGGAGCCCAAGCACGCGCTCAGAGCGGTGAAAATTAATAATGTTGCCTGCCATTTGCAGTCGTGCGGCAGGCACTTATCGCGTAACCTTGAGCAAGTGACGGAGCTCTGGTTCTGAATACAAATTAATAAATATAAATTTGTATTCTGGTACATTCGGTAATCCGAAGTTTGCTGAAAACATGATTGTCGAAGAAAAAATGGCGGGATTTTGTAGCTACAGTTTTTTCGCAAATTAATTTTTAGTTTAAGTATTATTACGTTTTGAGTTTCTTAATTGTTTGTTGCTTGTTTAAGCTGATGGCTCTATAGCCAATCCTCAACAAATAAATAAATAAAAAATTGCCGAAAATATTAAGAAAATAGTTGTACTTTGTCGCTAGTGATTATCGACACGATACACTCAGGTAAAAGTACTGAAAGATCAAACTAACCAAAAAATCTATACATCCACAGTACGAGCAGTCAACTTTAAGAATACCTTCAGAAAGCTCAAATTATATGTGTATATGAAGAAAATTAACCTAATCCACAAAAAGAAGGTGCGCATTTTATCGGGCGGCCGCATTTGACATTTTTATAATATTGTTGTTGTCTCCATATATTTGTTAATTTAATGTCCATATATTAAGAAATATACTAGATTTCTCAATAAAACCTTTTAATAGTATGGTTCGCGATTACTCCACCAACAAGAGATTAGCTCTTAAATACTAAGAATACAATGAATTCATTCATTTTTCTTGAATCACGGCATAAGACACTTAATTAATAATTTCTATATTATTATATTAATATATTTTCTATATTTCTTAATCATTATTCTGTTATCAGAATCTATAGAAAAACTTCTGTAGAATGGTCTTGAAAATATTAATTAAGTTGGTCTCCTTATTGGCTGAAAATTATGCGATTTTGAACTTGTGTAAATTTATAAATATAAAATTGATCAGGAAACTGACGGACTGCCTTTCTAATAGTTTCTACATCATAATATCTACTAGATTTAATTGAGTTTAAATAGTTAAGTGTCCGACTACTTATGAAGAAAGCGCGCACGCTATCTATCCACTAACAAATGAAAAAGCACACCTTATTTATTGACATTACGGTGATTTTTGTAAAATTTACATATATTTTGAGCACTCCGAAAAAGGCAAAATTTACCGTATATTCTATTTTACAGTTCAGACATATTTGATACTGACTGTTACGACGTTAATTTATCGTTGGCATCATTCGAGTAGTTTCAATAATTCATTACCTACAGAGGAAATCCCTCCCATTGAGAGTATAGGTGAATTAACAAGAGTTGATGGAAGCAACACAGCCACAGGTATAAAAGAGCGTGTGTTGGTGCATATATCTCGGTCGCAGGCACTCAGTGAAAAAAAGACACTGTCTTTGTTTTGTTCATATTGAGTTACGTACATGAAATAGCTTTTGTTCTTCAAATGCTTAATAGGGGGCGCGCACTCTTCAACATTTAACTAAACCCTGTACAAAAGCTCGTGGAACATTTGAAGCTCTATTGATAAAAACTGAAACTATGCAGTCGAGAACTGTCATTAATTCTAATACCAAATACAGTTTTTTAGCTTGTATGCACTACTTATCCATAAGCATCACGTCAACTTTCGTTAATTCATAGTATAAAACCATTTCATAAGTTTTTACATCACAATCTGCAAAGCAGGTGAGACGTTCCTTTAGTAGGATCTCATAAGGACCTATTCTTGTCGCTATGAAAAAACAATACCGTTTTTGAGCGCCGCGCGAGTAAATATTATTTCTTCGTCGTCCGCGTTCACGCTTTCGGATGTTGTTAGTGCTACGGTGTCGCTGTTTACAACGTGTGGTGACTCGCTGAATTCATCAAGCTCGTCAATTTCAGCTACAAAAAAATGTACAAACTGTTATAATTTTTCAGATGAGATTATTGTCTAACAATCGTTAATCGTTTGAATGTAAAAGTGATAAAATTGGCGAATGGACTTTTAGTTCATTATTGTTCAACCAAATCGGTAGTAAGAAAAGAAATTGGACTTATTTGTGTATCACACAGTGGGCAGTGCCAAATTTATAGCAGGTAAGCGATTCGCGACGGTACAACTATTGGTGTGTTCCAGTATGGTTCCGTTGGCAAGCATTTTTGCAGAGCCTGAGAAGGCAGTGATAGCTGGACGAGCTTGAGTGTATTATATGAATTAGTTGTCTTCGTTAATTTCAGTTACTTTTTGAAATGAAGCAACTAAATGGAATTGTAAGTGTAAACTCCAGGGGAGTGTATAAGCTTCTTTCTTGCAGTCGTGAAACGATGGTCGTCGACGCGTATAAAATGCTTCGGGTGTATAGGCTCTTATTGTTATTCTTAAACATTGCTAGGAAATAATAAATGACTAAAGAATTAAGTAAAAGTGTATAATAAGAAACAAGTTTATCATGACAAATTTTGCCGGTTCTTAACATAAGATGGAGTACGCTACAGTTCACTGTTGTATGTATTTTCGCTCTTCTCACTAGAACTCATTTTTGTACTTTGGAATAGAATTTAGTGCACTTACTAAGTGATTTCTCTTAAATCTACTTTAGCATATGTTTAAAAAGACGCAGTGTGCGTGCTTTTATATTTTTTTAGTTGCTTCATTTCAAAAACTAACTGATATTAACAAACAAAACTAAAATTAAAACTATCTTTTATCAAAATGCGCGACACACACGCATGATTACAGTGCGTCTGCGGCGCGTATACGCGTAAACGACGCGCATTTACGACGCCACTGAATATGTGAACGTTTGCAAAGGTTTACTCGCTGTGATTGCATCGCGTTTGAATCGCGTTAACGCGCGTCACCTGCGCGTCTTCTGAGCGTCGTCGGCGCGTATAAAATACGACGTGTGCATAGGCTCTCATGGATTTTCATACTTATTTTGCAGGCCTAGGCCGGCAAAGAGTTGCCCGCTCCATAAATGACAAACTTTGTGGGTTCTTTTTTGGAAGTAATGCACACATTTCCTAGCATGTTTGAGAAAAGTAATAATACGTAATATCATCAACTAGATACAATTCACCTATTCTTACCTGTATAGTTAGAAGGTGCCAGCAATAGATACTGTTCGGACCGCGTGGGCCACAGTAGATGCGCCATCACGCAGAATGCAAGGCAATCTGCCGAGTACGTAATACCTGAAACATAATAGCACAGTCTAACCCAATGATATTATAGGTTTAACCAAGTCCTACGTCGGGCAACGGACACGTCTAGACAGAGCAATCGTGCGGGCTGCGTGAGGTGAGAGAGGATTCAGGGTTGCGGCATTTACGTTAAATATTTCGAGTAAGTGTTGTAGTGGATTGTTGTGGAAAATTGTACATCATTATCTCGCATAGACAAAAATCTTAAATATCATCAGTTACCGCATACAGAAGAAAGGTGAGTCAAATAATTTTTTTTTTTTTGGAGGTAATGAAATTATATTTTAATTATATTTCTTAAAAAGCAAAATGGTGAATCTTTACGACGCGCTGCGTTTAAAATCAAGCTCCTTGCTTTTACTCGTTATCTAATCGAATAATGGTATTATTTATTAATTCAAGATGGCTGAGATGACTTTTTCAAATAAAATTACAATGGGTATTGTCTGCGGTGTTCTAGTGGGTGCTCATTACATACAAATATGGCATTAATTTTAAAATCCCATACGATGGACAAGAATTTTCGAAAATTAATTTTTGGTGGTAATCATATCTATTTTAACCGCATCTATTTTAACTTTACATGGACAGCCATTACATTTTAACTTATTACTAGTTATTACTTGGTGTACACTCCGCATATTCTCCACATGAGCTAATGCTTGGTGCAGCAAGCGAACAGATAGCTACTGAAGACTGAAAATCAGCAATACTGAGTCTCAGCTTTTTGTCCACATCACTCAATTGTTTGTCCTATTCATTTTTTCAATATTGTGTGTTTTATGTTTTGTGAAGAAATAAATGTCTTATTATTTTATTCATTTTTATTTCAAATCCAAGTTGACGAACACGACTATTCAAATAAAAGCAATATGGGTATCGATTTTAACTGTTATCGGGGTTCATGATTATGAATATCATAATTAAATCCTTGATAGACTTGATACGATACATAAACAAAGTAGCTAAATAAAAGCTTATTATTATTTTCACATGCAAGCTTCGGATTGAAGCATGTGAAAGACGTGATTTAATCGGAAAAACTTGGAAAAAAATTGAGTGAGAGTGTTTTATTTAAAATAAAACGCTTTTAAACATTTTTTTACCATATTCATTTTATATCTACAACTACTGCACATACTATGAAACGGCTTGTGAGAAAGCCCACATCGACATCTTTTTTTTATTATTCCCAGTATGGACATAGTAAAAATATTTAAAAAACACATGGTGACAACCCTAACATACAACGTAATGTCTATACGACAGCGGCTTTTCGCGAGACTTCAAAGGTGATATTCCATTTTACACTGTGATAATAGCATGTTTGTGAAACTTCGATTTACATCTAAACATTACCTACATAATTTTATTACTTATTACAAAATATGATAGTGTCTAGACAATCAGCTTAAATATCAAAGAAAGTACAAGTTAAAGCAGACACTTGCTTCTACAGATTGTCTAAGGTAGACAGAAACTATTAACAGGTATTCTATTAACAAACTCACCCAATAAAAATTTGAACCTCCACAACGGACTGATTTGCAACGCGATAAGCGCAATAATCGGCAAGTAAACGAACCACACGAGACTGGACGCGCCAAAGTGTAGCAGGAAATTCAACTTAGGCATATTATGCTCGTAGACCATTGTGTTGCGTAGTTCTAGCACGAACCACGTCATGATAGCTACGCGTAAAGTGAGAATCAACCACCCCGGCCATGTTTGATATTCATCAATTTCCTCTATTATATCCACTTCCGTCTGTAACGAAAAAGCTGTGCTAGAGACTTTTACAACTATAGAATGACCCATAATTATAGTCTCGCGAATAAACTAAGGTGTATATTTTCTAACTCTTTTATTGACTATGTGGGTCCAATGCAAAAGCCTGAATATTAAATTTATATATTACAACGATATTACCAATCTTTCTGTTTCACTTTCATCCCAATAGCGTTTGGGTAGCGGTGGTCGCAGCTACCTCCAGTAACTCCTTGGTCTTGCTAGCAATGTGCATTAAGTTAGTAGCGCGTCTGCGCAGCCGCGACATGCCGCTGTTTGCTGTATCTGATTACTGTACGAGCCGTTAAGGTAAGGACGCAGTCATCGACGGTGATCAATCACTGGTCCATACAAGAAGCACCATTGGTAATGACGCTGTTAGCATCGACATAACATCAGACGTCATTACCCTTTTTATCAATTGTAGTTAAACTCAAATTAAAATATTTTCTAGTGTGTTTTTTGTTAAACAAAGTGCATGTTTAACTTTGTAAAATGATATGTATAAAAAGTACTCACAGTATTCCAAACATAGAGCAGTATGTGTACAATTCCGTACCCAAGCCAAACTCCAAACACAAGCGGTTTATAAGTCAACTCTAATCTTGTGACTGCCCAACCTTTGGCTAGTAGAAGTAGTAGTAACATGAAGAGTGTCTGAAATTTGTAAAGGAAATAATTATTAAAATGTTTTTTAACTAAAATGATGTTGGCTTTCCTAGGCCATGCTTACTTATTATTCGTCATACAATGGCAATAACTCCATGTAATTTTACTGTATATGAAAAATTACGTTACTTCTACACAGTGTTAAAACAACTTTCCATATGTAGTAAGATAATATGTTCAATGTTCAATATAGGAACGGATAAGACCCTGGTTGCATCAAGTCGCAAGTGCGTGTTATATACTTTTAAAGATTAAAGCACGACGACGACGGTACGTAGTGGTATACCCGACAAGGGGATTCTTTCAGTAAAAATGAAAAAGGTGGTTCCACTATACTTCGCAATTATATAGCCCCAAGTTTACTTAACAAGATATAGTTAAAATATATAAATACTTCATGTCTTAACACTAAAGACATTTTTTCATATGAGGCAAATTAAATAAAGAAAAAAAGCAAATTACTTACAGCTCAAGGATCAAAAACAGTTAAAAAGAATCACTAAATGAAAGACACCCAAACTTAAAACAGTACACTAACTACTTCCTTTTACCATTTACAATATTGAACATGTGTGTTGACCTTATAAGGACAAATCAAAATGGCAACTAATTACTACACATTAGTCTTTGGGGCTTCTTGAAAAGATGTAGGTACACTACTGTATTACATCATAAACACATAAGGATATCAAGTGAGATTTATCAAGCGACTTGCATTGATTGTACACACACTGTGTTTCAAAATTTTACTGCTTAGCAACAAGGAAATCAGACCTCACCCTGCTCATAATATCAAGTATATCACCAGCAGCAGCCAAACCCGCGAAACCAACTCCATCTGCAGCAAACTTGACAGTGTGCAGCACATTGAAGCAAAGAGCAACAAACTCCAGGGTTAGGCTGAAGGTAAATAACTTTGTCACTGGGTGCTTCTGGGTTCTGTAATATGCAATCCATTACTGTGCTATATACAATTGAAGTGCTATTGTATAAGTAATTAGAATTTCGTTATTTATTTTGATTAATTACTTAAATATATTCTGTTGCAGATTAATAACAGTAAATGTTTAAAACCAACTACAATTAACAAGTTTATTACATAATCTATTTCATTTATTCATCATATGTACACCATATGTTTAACTGTAATATTATACTTGTATACATATTTATATGACTACACATAATAGTAGACACAGTGAGCATATAATATACATCTAAACCACAATAATTATCCTATCAGTGCAGTGATGCCTGATGACTAATGAGTAGTCACAAACAAAGCCATTGAAACAAATTGAACTTACATGTAATTTGAACTGAAATTGAAGAAAGAAGAGAATGAATAATTTATGTAATTGTAATTTGTAATGTTGCAAACTAGAACTGAATTGAAAATGTACACTGTGATATTTGGGTTTTTAAAGAATATTACTTTTAATCTTTTAATATCCATAACTGTTGTTATGAATTTATTCTTACTAATGTTCTCAGAGGAGAAGATGTTGCAATTCAGACAATTTATCAAGAATATTTGTCAATCGTCATACCAGGCATTCCTTTAGTTGCTATAAAAATATTTTATACTAATTTTCATACTATAATGTTTTACACTTGAAAACAAAAAAGGTTCATCTTTGTGAACAAGGTGGATAATAAATTGTGTCATATTTACCTGACAGCATAAATTTGCACCGGCAATAATATGATGTAGCACAACCAGAACACCAAATATAGTTCGAGAGTGTTTTGATGATCAAAAGAAAATTGATACAATAATGTATTATAAAATGACAAGTTAGGACTTCCGTTTACAAGCCAAAAGTCATACTGTACAGTCTGAGGGATATCTGTCAATGTTTTGTTGTCTTTTGTCGGTGCTCCCGTGTAGTGGTGCCATGTGCATGTTGCTTCATCTAAGTAACATGCCACCATTGACACGTACCAAAACCTATTGAATAAAAAACAATGTCAAAATTCACTTCCAATTAAAGAAATTAAAATATGAAAATTAACATGTGAGGCACCAAACCATACTCAGGGTTTATCTAAAGCTATTTATTTCTCTTGACATTTTACCAGATGTACATAGAAATATGATAAGAAACTGATTGTCTAATATGTTTCTAACATATAAAATCTGTGAAATCTGTATTAAGTACATTAATTATTATTTTACATATTAATTATTCTGTATATTATTATAATTGTACACAGTAATTAATACAATCAGATTAAAGGATAAAGGGAAACAAAGACAAGGAGTATGCTTGATGAATTTTGTAGAACTTTTAAAGATTGTTATGCTATACTTTGTTTCAACCCATTTTGAACAAAAAGTAAATAAACAAGTCACTGACTCGACCATAGACAGTTTAGTGGTGGCCAATTGTAATGCCAACTACAAATCAATTAATTAATTGAATGAATAGATTAGTTGAATTGAGTCATACTATAGCGTTTTTCCTTACATAACGTATATAGGCATATTAAAAAAAAATCAATTTAAATCCTCCTACTAATCCTTAAACTTAGATACTCGTTCAATTGCTATTAAAATGTTCGATTTAATAATCGATTACTAAACTGTAATTGATTGAACCAAATGTTTTTTTCGAACAGCACTATGCAACCATAGGCAAGTCATTTCATTTCATTTATTTATTGCTTTTCACAGGTATGGTACAATTTAATAAACTTAAAACTATGACAGCATACATGTGATACCCTGTAAGGGCGTTGCAAATTAAAGTTAAGTGATAGTTACAATATAATTTAGGAACAATCCAAACTTAAAACGTAGGTAATTAATTGATATGGGTATTATTATTATATTTAAATTAAATTAAATTATATTTAAATTAAATTAATTATTATTTATACATGTTCAGCACTATATATAAGTCATACATTTAAGCCCCAAAACAATCCCAATCATGTAGAAGCATCAACTATGAGACATACAGTTAGTTAAAAGATGAGTTCTTTATCTTGGCCAACTTTCAAATACTTTTATCATCGAAAAACTCAGACATATTATAATAGGTTTTTAGGATGAGAAAATCCTTTAATTGTTTTTCAAAAACCTTATTTTTATCTAAATTTTTAATATAATTAGGGATATGATTATATATTTTAATTAACATAAGTCATAGACGTATAGATGAATAATAACCTCACTTTTGGACTACCACATTTCAAATATGATTTTACAATGCTATTCAAATGAATATTGTTGGAAAAAGTGATGATATATCAAGTCGAAATCTTCGAAATATATGTGTAAGTATTCTTATTCGATTTATTGAGTGTTTGCTTTAGAATTTTAACCAAACAGGTTTGTTTACTTTTTGTTCAAAATGGATTGGAACACACATACAAAACAATTTTGTAATTTTTATTAAGATGCTAAGTGACAGAACTAACAAGTTGTATACTTGGTGGTAAGCGACGCATCTGTCCATAGCAGTTAAAGTGCCACTTAGAGTTCTAAATCGCAAATATCTGAGAAGCACTGCCACTGCACCCATCACCTTGAGACTTCAGATGACAAGTCCCATGAGCTTGTAATTTCCCCAATATAGTGAAGAGAAATGTTTAGCATTTGTATTTAGTTATTGCCTTACCTTGGTTGACCTGTATTCTGTATTACATAGGTAAATTGGTTTTTCTTTATAACATTCCATGGAGTGTCCTCATCTACGCACAACTTGCCTTTCTGACAAGGGATTCTTCTAAATAAGTCTTGCCCGTACGCGTTGCATTTGGGATGATACGCCGACGAATTCAAGTTTTGAAACATAACCTGACATGCTAGCTCCTTATCAGCTATATCTCTACTCTTATAGTAATGTATAAAATGCCTTCTATCTAACACCGCAAACGTTATAGGATATTTAAATTGTTGTTTTGAAGTAATGTTTCCAAAGATATAGCCATATGTTTCTTTCTGATAATGAATATCTGTCTTCTGGAAGCCAAATTTCACTAAGAACTTAAAAAACTCATCGGTAGAGAATTCACCCTTTATATGCGTACACGAAGTTTTAGCAAAAAACGTGTAAAATATTAAAATTATAATCTTCTTGTACATTTTGACGAAGAGATACACCTACACAAAAAAAACATTTCTAAAACACATTACGCATTATGCTTTAGTTTCACAAACGTGGTTAGTATTACGTTTCACATTTCCAATAATCCTATTTTAATATAATATTCCATCTAGAAGAGAAAGTTTACGCACATATTTTTGATCACTTTGTTAAATCTGACTACGACATATAGACAGACCATGCAATCCCACCACCCACACCACAAACTACTAATACAAGACCCACACCATCACGAAATCTGTCACTGTAGCCACTGTACTCTACACTAGAGATGGGAAAAACTGCTTATTTTTTTTAAAGTTTAAACTTGTCGTTGTAGCTTTTTTTAAAAAGCGTGCTTTTCTAGACGCTTTCCACTTACACGCCTTATAATAGTTTAAGGGTCGTATTCTAGAACTCTACCCAATGCTCAAGTCAGGATTTGAG